ACAAAAATCTGAATAGCGAATTATTGACAAATTTACTAAATGACGAATTTCACCAAATTGGTATACGTCACACCGACGTGACTTTTAGACGTCATAGATTCGTCACTGCAACGTCATAAGAGTAACGGCTTCAATATAGGTTCACCTGAACAATCATTTTTATATATACATAGTTTGTTGGTTTCCGAGATATACAGAGTGTCAAAGTATTTCAGAAAGAAGATTTTCTACTACTTTTCGGGTAAATCAATTATTAGAATAAAACTTGCATGATGATTTGCTATCATGAGAAATACTTTTATTTCATATGATAATATATAACTATCCATGGTTTGAAGGAGGTCTGGGAAAAATGGACGTCGACAGGACGTCCCTGCATTGTCATGAATTTGACGTCTCCTCTCATCCATCTAAGTGACGTTCACTCGACGTGGAAACGATGACGTGATTATCACGTCATACGAAGTACGTCATAGTGACGTCATAAATTGGTGTGTGACGTATCTGCTGAAAAATCACCAATTAGGGTTGTCGCAGTGACGTGATCATTCGTCATCTGGTTGCCTGAGAATTGACATCAACATTCACCAAAGAGAATGTGAAATATCAATCTCCCTGAATATTGAACAAATTGTTATCAGATGTTTTTCCATGCACATTCACGATAGTCATTTCCTCTGAAAATGAAATCATTCTTTAGTGCCATCTAACGGCTCAACAGTGCATTTTTCTATAGAGGTAAATTTATTGCGATCGGCCAATTTGGGCTTCTAGTTTACCCTGTGGAATTTATGGTACGTTGTTATGGGACACTTTTTTTTACATCATTAGGTCCATGGCAGGGGTACATCGTTTCATGAGACGTAGACAGGACGTGATTGTTTTTTAACTGATATGTCATTGAACGATTGGTAAAGTTTCAGCTTTCATCATGTCTGACATTCACTCGTTTGTTTTAACAAGATCGATGAGCTACTGATAATTGTTGTCAGGATGGTACAGCGGCAGAAGTTGATTTCGAGTCTAGAAAGCGTTGGAATATTAGCAAAATAATAAAATTATTCTTCATCATATGTGTCAAAAACAACTGTCGCTGTATACCCAAATGATATTGAATAAGACTTGCAGAAATGGTGTCCCCTATATCATTTTTCTCATTCCTCGATTTCATGATATATGGAATACCCAATTGGGAGGCTATGTTGCATCTTGATCACATCAGGAACGGATGATACTGGAACAACAAAGTTCAATCACACTGGGACCAATCGCTCGATAAAACCTTAATATAGACTGGGTTAATAGCGCTCAGTTTGTCATCTCGTCCCAATCTGATATCAGCTTATTCATTACCAATTCTTCCCGAATCCAACTCCAATCCAATGAATTCAAATGAAGGAGATCACGCTAGGGGCTGAGACAGAAAACCCCTTTGGCGTCATATATACAGGGTGTCCCAAAGCTAGCTTGACAAACTGCACCATCGGCTCCTTAGTCTAAAAATGGTCAGAAAAGTTCTAATGAACATATGCCAAAAAATGTCTCCCAAGGCAGCTACGCTCCCCTGGAACATTCCCAAATTCCATTCAGAAGTGTTTAATACAAAATGAAACTACATTAAATATTGTCCAAACTTTTTTGGTTGCATATTTTTCGACACATTGATCTCGGATTAAAAAAATCGACACCGTTTCACAGAAAAAAATTCTCCTGTTCCATATTGATCAGATGTATTATTCTCGAGAGAAATCGATTCAAAAGCATTGTTACACTCACAGCTTATGCATAACGTTGCAAATTTTCAAAATATGGTGGCTATAAGGTAATCGACTACTTTTATTTCACCAAAAAACTCCATAAAGGCGCATGAACAAGGAAAATGATGAAAGTAACTTCAATTCTTGTGCATTATTTTTCATATTCACCGCGATTCATTTGCACTGTTACACAACATATATAGCTCACTATTAGAGTATTGAGTTTGAAATGAGAATGATTTTTACAGTTGGAAAAAAGCCTTCATTATCAAAACTGGGTCATACGATCATAACAAAACAAAAATGAAGATATGTGAAATATAAATGAAAACATACTCAGGGTGGCTACAGAAGTATTGCCTACGGAATATCTCAGTTATTGTATGAAGTGGGTTTGTGAAATTTGGAGCGTCGATATGATGACATAAGAGCTAGAATTTGAGCATATTGACATGTCGAAGTAAACTTCCGGTCTGACCGGAAGTAACATCAACTTTCTTATTTTAAATGGAAACCCTAATTTTTGTTCCTTTCGCTTTTTTCAGCATTCAATTCCCTTTCTATTGACATATCACAAGTTGGTATCTAACCAGAAACTAGATCAGAAAAAAATTATTATTGGAATTCACCGAGTAGGCCGTGGAAGCAAAATGAAAGCTAAAAATTGAAAAGTTGGCTATGGAAGCCATACGTCACTCGATAAACAGTTGCTACTACTGTGATATTTTATTTTCATTCGTCGGCGTTATAAAAAGCCGCCAAAAAAAATATTGGAAAAATTGGGAAAAAAACAATACTCTGTAGGTCCATAACTCAAATAGGAACATACAACTTTTTCTTGCCTGTACTATTCAGCATAACCATTCCTTTCTAATGATATAATAGAAAGTCATTTTTTGGTTCTCATTTTGCTTCCACGGCCTACTCGGTAAATTTCAATAATAATTTTTTTCTGATCTAGTTTCTGGTTAGATACCAACTTGTAATATGTCATTAGAAAGGGAATTAAATGTTGAATAAAGCGGAAAGAAGAAATAATAGGGTTTCCATTCAAAATAAAAAAGTTGATGTTACTTCCGGTCAGACCGGAAGTTAACTTCGACATGTCAATATGCTCAAATTCTAGCTCTTATGTCATTATATCGACGCTCCAAATTTCACAAACCTACCTCATACAATAACTGAGATATTCCGTAGGCAATACTTCCGTAGCCACCCGGTATAGTGAAATTATAAAATATAATGTGTAGCTGAATCTAGGAGGTGAAATATTAATTTTTCTAGATTTTGGTGATTTGTTGTCCTCGTCCTCTTTCCCAGAATGTCACTGTGCTTGTAATGCTTTGAATGTTGAACCACAAAAACCTAAAGAGAAGAGTTGAATCATCAATTGAAGAATGTATTGTTTGTTTTGCAGAGTGGCTTGTTGAAAGGAAACCATCAACCGTATTCCTATAGTTCTTGCTTCAGAAGAAACAACATTCCCATTCATTACAGCCAGGCATTGTCGAAAACTAACGAAATTTTAAGACAACCAGATATTTTCTGGTTACAAAAATTTTGCGTTTGACAAAGTTGTTATAGGTCTGTGAAAACACGAAGGAAGGAGAGATTGGTTCAATCATTCTAATCAGGCAACGAATGAATGCGACCGGTCAAAAAGTCACTGCTGAACGAATGTGTGTTCTGCAGTTTATACAAAATATGGCCATATGCATTGACAGTGATGTGTAGTTATGGTTCCAGGTATGATTGATATCATTCTTAGCATTTTTTGATGAAATAAGAAGGTAAAACACTAGGTACAACTATTTTACAAATATATACAATGTTCTCACCCCCGCAGAATTTCCTCAAATATAGAATGCCGCATTGCTGTAGATAATACCTCACCACTATTATCCATGACCCAGCACACTTGTTTCTTGAACACTTGATGCGAGACGAGTGTATATTGCTTCATTCGCAAGAGAAATCCTTGTACGGAGCAATTTTATTTCGAGAAATTTGGTGAAAGAAATTATTCTTGAACCAAGTTCAATCTTAGACAGAATCCCTTTAGGACCAATTGATCTATGAAACCTTCATGTAGACCGAATCTAAAGCGTTCAATTTGTCATCTCGTTCTAATCTGATATCAGCTCAATCATCAGCAGTTTTTCCGATTCCAACTCCATTCTAATGAAACCAAATAAAAGAGGTCACGCTAGAGCTCGAGAACGTCATCACCCCAGTTGACGTGCTGTAGTTAAATTCAAACTGATACATATTATGAGAACGAAAATACCACACAATTCTTGCGCGAATTGACAAATCGAACTTTCATTCGGAAAAATACCAAATGTGTGGAAGGCTATGTTGATATTCATCACCATACCATCACGAACGGCTACTAATGAAACAACCAAGTTCAGACAGAATCATTTCGGGACCAATCGTTCGATAAATGTTCAATGTAGACCAGGATTATAGCGCACAATTTGTCATTTCGTCCCAAGCTGATATTAGCTCATTCATTAGCAGTTCTATCCGAATCCATCTCCAATCCAATGGATTCAAATGAAATAAGAGACCACGCTAAAGCTCAAGACAAGAAATATCATCACCCTACTTGGTCATATAGTTACATTCAAAACGATTAACATGAGAACGAAATTACCACACAATTCCGCAAAGTAGCAAATCCAACTCTAGTTCGATAAACGCAAAATGTGCGCCGAGATAGCGCCACCTGTGTTATTTTGTTTGTCATTCGATAATTCTGTGAAACATAAAATGTCCGAATTGAAGACTGTACAATGATATGCATCATGATTTCATCATGAGCGGATAACAATGATGGAATAGCCAAGTTCAATCTCAGACACAATCCCTTTGGGACCAATCGCTCGATAAAACCTTAATGCGGACTGGGTTAATAGCGCTCAATTTGTCATCTCGTCCCAATCTGATATCGGTTCCTTCATTAGGAATTTTCTCCAAATCCTCCATTTCAATGAATCCAAATAAAACAGATGACACTAGAGGCCAACTCAGAAAACGTCACCACTCCATTTGGCGACGTATACTTTCATACAACCAGATACATATCAGAACGAAATTACCACACAATTTCTTCGCAAATTAACAAATCGAACTCTAGTTCGGGAAAATGCCAAATGTGCGCCGCGATGGCGCCACATGCGCAGGACCGTGCCGAAAGGACATCATCGCCAGTCTGCCCGAAGGATCCGACGGCAACGTTTCGGCAACCGCGCGTATCCTTTAACAATCCCCGCGTTGACGCGTTCAAAGTCCGTGAGTGCGCCTCCAACGTCCAATCACAGTGTTGTTTTTATCAGTGCTGGAAGCCCTAGTGTCCGATGCGAAAAATCAGCAGCAACCTCTTTCTGTGTGACCTGTCCAACCAACCGAGATGCTGATCACCTGACTCCCAGCCGCAGCCATGGCCCCAGCGCTTCGCGACCTAATCCTCTTCTGCTCAGCCCTCCTTCAAGCTTCGCTAGCCGACCCCTCCCCTGATCCGAGGCCCCCCTTGTCCTCTCGAACGGTCAGGACGAAGTACGGTGACGTGAGTGGTGTTATAATGACCTTGGATGCCAAGCACCTGGAGCCTGTCGAGGTGTTCCGCGGTATTCCCTACGCTAGTCCGCCCTTGGGCAGTCTGAGGTTCATGCCTCCAGTGACGGGGGCTCTTTGGCACGGTGTCAAGGTCGCGGACAAGTTCAGCCCGGTTTGCCCACAGAGGCTGCCCGATATCTCGAATGAGACGGCTGCGCTGAGGAGGATGCCCCGGGGCAGACTGGAGTATTTGAAGAGGCTGCTGCCTTACTTGAGGGAGCAGAGTGAGGATTGCTTGTATTTGAACATCTACGCTCCAGTGCAAGGTATGGACTGGTTGAGAGTTGCGCCTGGGTGACTGAACATGAATTCCACTGATGAATGTACTCATGTAGATACTGCAAAATCTGTAACAAAATCTTGACTGAGATGTTTTCTTCTCTTATGATCGATGTTTAACTAGTCTTCAACGTTCGATACTGATGTTGTGAAAAGTTTCAGTACTCTGTTCGTCTCCGATTCTCCGTATTCAGTTGTTAATTCACATTCGAGAGTTTAACTCTGGGAAAAAACCTGGTCGATTACTATTTTCTATTGCGGATTCTTTGATAATTAGTTCATATGTACACGAAGATGAGTTGAGATCATTTCATATCATATTATCCAAATCAAAACACCAATATTGATACCTCATCATTGAAGTATGTACCGGATGTATCGGTACACAAGATAATTTGATTGAAGGAAACAGAACAAGAAATCGAATCGATTGTACCAACTGCTGCAATTCCAATTGCAAGTATTTTTATATCACCCAGACCTTGAAGTCTCATCAGAAGATGTGAGTGATTCAATGGGAAAAAAAATATTTCTCATACACCAGGGGGCCTGGGCCGTTTATTAATATGAGTTGTTCTTTGTACCTACTCACAGTTACATAACTGAAAAAGTCGTCACATAAATTATATTTTGTGTCAGATTATATCATTCTGCATCTTATATAGAAATACCATCAGAAGAACTGTTATTTCAGATAATGAATCATCACAATAATTAAATCGACGATGTCCTGAATTCTGAAGCAATGCTCATAGTACGAGTTACCTATATACGAAGAGTAAATTGAGAGTCGGATGATGGATTCTCGACTCTCAAAATTCGTATGGTATCAATTAGTCCAAGCAATGCTGTATGAATCGAAATATCTATGTTTCAATTATTCTGAAATGCACGTATTGCGGCTATTCCTCAGTGACGTTTGATCCCTTTTGGGATTTGTCATTGCCAATACCACAGCGAACGCGCCAACTAAGTTTCTTCCAGTGCTTGGACTCATTCACCAGAGAAGAGTCATTGGATGGCGGAGACAAGCCTTCTTGCTCCAAATATTAGGAGAGGCGGAATTGTACAAAGTCATTATCTATCCAGAGGTAACCTGAAATTCTTGTCTTCCATCTGAAACGTTTCTCGCCAGATCTGTTCGTAGAAAAACTGAACGTCACAGTTGATTTCCCTTTAGAAAAACTGGATATGAGCTATTACGCAGCCGATGGAAGTGTGCCGTTCCACTACGATCTATATGCTATTTCGAAACATAGCGGTACCATCAACAGTGGTCACTATATGGCCTACTGCAAACATCTGTACCCGAACATCTGGCACGAATTTAACGATTGTCGTGTTTCTTCAATTTCATCAGATTCGATCATCAGTAACGAAGCGTATTTACTATTTTATCAAAAAAAATACCCAAGTTGTACCAGCCACCACTTCCACAAGCAATGGCTGCTCTTCGAGCACCAAACCAGATCAATTCGCAAATACCACCCAGTCGCAAGACAACACCAAGATTATCCTTGATGATTCCAGAAAAAATTTTGTTTCGGATCTAGGTATCAACCAACCTAGTTTGGAAGATGGTCATGTGGGATCGTCAGATTCAGTCTCATCTACTGAGCCAAAACCTAGGAGGAGATGAAAGCCCAAAAAAAGCCTTTCAAAGATGAACAAGAACTCTTGGTGAATAGGCCAGTACATCATGAATCAGGCAGGCCGACGCACCTGTATTGGTCAATCTTCTCAGCATGAAATCGCCGGCCAGCACTTTGAAGAATCACAAGAATCGGGGTCCTATAGTTGTCAAGGCTCTTGTTAGCATGAACCTGGGGCAACTATATATTTGGAACTTCTGATTTGTTTCAACTTCATGAAATGTACTATACATTAGTGTAACAATTTATTTTTCTCATTACATTTGGTGAGACATTATTCTGTACCAATAAAAACTATAGATTCGTATTGATATAGAAGTGAAATCGATGTAAACGTCTGATCCAGGTGGTAAATGGCAACTTTACGCCCTGTCATGCGTAAGCTATATCATGAGTGGTGGCACCAACTTCCATCCATCATGGGTGTACAGGAACATCATTCATTTGATTTCAGAACTCATATAATGCTGAGTTGATGAATGCATTGAATAGGTTTAAAAAATGTTTTAAACTTTCATTTCATTTCGTCACTATACCAAATTGAAGTGTCGAACCATTTATTTTCTCATCAACATCGCATGTAGTAAAGCTGTCAGGAAAAATCACTTGTTTACAGAAGTTAGTGTTCTCGCCAGTTGGTCTACTGAAGAATGCGAATATCGTTAATCCAATATTCGTTTTTCAATTGATGCCAGAACCTTTCCAATGATATTATGCATGTTATCATTCCAAGAATTCCTGAGAAGATGAATCCTTCTGCATTATAAAATGTCTGAATAGATAAGAATATTCCAGACACACGATTCTGATATTTTTCCAATGCCGATTGGAAAGACGCGACATTTTCAATATTCTTCCAGTTCAATTAATGAATGTTTCGAACTCCTGGAAGGTCTACATCGATTCCCTTCCTGCAATAATTGAATCTTCGAAATACATTTACATAGTGAGCGTTGAGATAATATCGAAAAAGTTTTGCTGGGCTCTATGTTTATTCGTTTATTGATTTTCCATGTACTCCAACTTTCTGATTGTTGTATGTTTTCAGTGGAGATCAATAATAATAATAATGAGGAGAATCGTTTTTATTGAATACACATATTTTCAAATCAACTCACACTATTAATACTATATTCATATGAATGTACAATTCTTTTTTTATTTCTCTTCAATTGATGTAAAAAAACAGTTAATTCTGAATTTTTGAATTATGACAATTGACAGATGAAATTCCGATGATTATATAATTTTTTCACACATGTGTCTATGTTACTGTTCTGCTTCTGGTTGTCAGCCATGTTGAAATAATTCTCGTAGCGAAAGTGCTTTGCAAGTTTTCTCGACATAATTCGAGTATAATGTAACGAATTTTTATTAATCTTCAAGAATATCGATGATTTCATGTTGTGAATGTTCTTTAACACATGTATTATTCCCCACCGAATGGAAGCCAGCTTCAACAAAATCTCATTTTCCGTAAGTGTTTCAATAATCGATAATGATGATTTTATTTCCATATCAATTTTAATGTTTCATAAAGTTCCTGATGAAGAGCCATCGAAGACTCGAATGTGAGAACAGAAACAAGAATACACTTTGTTTTTCTTCGACTGCATAGCCAAAGGAATTCTCAGTTTAATCCTATATAAATATAAATAAAACTAGCTTGCTAGAGGGGATTGCAGCAAAGTGAAGGTGAACTCATTACAGTTACAGTTTTTTCGAGCTTTCGGAAACATTTATTTTCAACTTCAGGGCTAACTATTTGGGGATCATCACTATGATGTTGAGAGAAATTTCTGAACGTTGATCTGATAATTTTTGGACATACAATATCACGAAACATTTAGAATTCTTGTAGAAGACGAAAAAAAAAAGGTTCTCACATAATTTTTCATCAATGAAAATCATTTCATCACAAATCAATATATTGGAAACCCTTGTCAACGTTTGTATCACGTTGGTCAATTTAAAAAAAAATGACCAACGTGATACAAACGTTGACAAGGTTTCTAGGAATCTATTAAATATTATATAAAGGCCTATACTATTGATCTTTTCAACATCAGGAAGTTATCCAGAGTTCAGGAAAAAAAAACAACATGAATAAATATGAGTACCAATAGGCACTACCTTCTATAGAAGTATTCCTCAACAAGGAGCTGATTTTTTCAGAAAACCTCATATAAGGACGCCCGTCTTCAGACTCACCCTCGACATCTTGATGACATTATTGTGAAATCCTCGAATGGCCTCCATGAAGAAGAACATGTTCATTGATGTTCCGGTTATATAATACGTATGTTGCCCTCGCATTATACTGGTACAATAGTATAGTGTTTAACGAAGACGAAAGAGAAATTAGCATTCCATGCGAGTAATACTATACTATAATTTTTCTATGACAGATAACAGTGACATTCTTGATTGTTTCGTCTTGTAGTCATCTGTTTTTCTCTCAGTGATGCTCATCTATCAAACAGAGCTGTCATTGCCTGAAATTTGACATTTGGAGGAAGATGAGATTTTTTGAAATAATAATATCACGATGGAGTCATAAGGATATCAGATACGGAAATGAAATCGATGACATACAAAATACCTCATCGATGTTTCGAACACAGTGAAACAAGAGCAATTATGTGTTATAGCCTATCAGATGCATTTTATTACAGCTTCATTTCGACAATCTGAAATTTATATAACATTGTTACTCTATATGTTACACCTTGTATATTTCAGTAAAAATGCACTCATATAGTAATTACCAATCAGTTATTAAAACGCATTTTTCTCGGCGTATAGGACGCTAAAGGTTAGCTACTGCAGTTATGACGTCATGACTGTTATAAGGACAAGTTGTTTTCGATTTGTTATGGAAATGGGATCATCAGCCTGAGGATGGACCCTCACCCTCGCCCATTCTTATGATTCGCGACGAGAAAAATTTTGGATTCTGGATGTCGGATTGAGAGATTCGCGCTTGGGATTGGGAGATTTTTGTCTGGGAATGAGAGATTGCCACAATATCTCCAGAATTGGAAGGATTCATTGAGAGATTCACAGATTTCTGATTTTCGAGATGAGATTTTGGATGTTGTCACAATACTTCCAAGATTTCTCGGATTTGAGGAATGATTGACAGATTTAAAGCAAGCAAGCATGCCGAAATTGAAGCTTGGATTGGTGAGATTCCCAAGATTCCAAGTAAATTCGAAGGAAATTCTACACCAGACTGTCACAGTGAGACACCCCTTGGGATATCGGTTCCCCAATGCCATCATCAATGAAATGACAATGGACCATTAGGTCGACCATCAGCCTATATCACAAGCATTTTATCGACAGCATTTTTTCGACAATCGACAATTGATGTTGTTTCACCAAGTCTCCTTTTATTTTTCTCTATCCTTCAGCACATGAGCCGTTATTTGCTATTGTAGGATGTGCAGTGAACAAGTGGATGAATAGAAAGTTGTATGAGTGCATGAATATTCAATCTCATCAAATCGAAATGACGAATTAGGTTGTATAAAAACTGATATTCTTCGTCAAGAACATCCTCCATGATATGTTATAGTACCTCTACCATGGAATTTTAGTCCTCAAAGGACTACTCTACCTCAGACTTGAGTCTTTTTTTCCTCCTGACTCTTGTTGCAGCAGACTTGGTAATATGCAGTTATGATTCATAGCTCACTTGGAATTCACAAATATTTCATTCCAAATACCAAAGAAATGGAGTTCTCGAGTTTATGCCATATTTCAGGCATTCCATAAATCACAATATCAATCAACAGGAACAGAATTCATGAACTTCTGGCTGAATGGCCTGATCAAATGTGGATAAATACATAATTACGAGGAGTTTTATTACAGTAATTATCATCATTCTCGTTATAATCATAAGTAGAATGATATTTTTCATACGTAACCTCAAAATTCACTGTGTAAGAATGAACCATTAGATTCTCATTGGGAATTCACTGAAAATACGTCAGTCAGTCATCAGTGGGGCAACAATGAACAAGCAATAATATTGGCGTTGAGTCGGCCAGTGGCCAACTTTTGTGATTCACCATTGAAAAATGCCAATGATAGCTCAGTGGGGTGACATTGCTCTGATAGTCTGAGGCCATCCTCGAAGAGACAATTAGTAGGCTTTGTTCAGGAGAATAAAATAGCCAAAAATGTTAAGTCAGGTTTTCGAAGTAAGTATAGCTGTGAAACAGCATTCCAATGTGCTGTGGATGGCTGGAAAAAAAAGTTCAGGAGCAAATCAAATGCCAGATTGTACTTCTTGACCTTCGAAGGGCTTCTGGATCTGTGGATCGAGGAAGGTTGTTTGAAAAACTAAGATGCGTTGGAATCGAAGATGAAACATTGAAATGGCAAGCTATTTATTCTGATAACAGGGAACAAAAACTAAGGATTACTAATATGATCTCTGAAGAATACTATCATACTTCCCCACTTCACTCAATGCTCAACTATATTTTATTTTTATTTAACCAAAATCAAATGTATAGATTTCAAAAATTACAGAACTGATCAATGAGCATAATCCTTTCGTGCAATAGACGTACTCCTATCATAACAATGTTGAACAGACTAGAATGATTGTCAGTAAAAGATTTTCTATTGTAGGTACCAGGCACTTATTTTTATATATAAAATAAGCAAGGGCACTTTACCAGACTACCTGAGAAATGAAGTGAACTATAATTATCAATGTCATCACTATGAAACGAGATCTAGAAGAGATTTTCACATTCCCCAATTCCAGAAAAGATTTATGCAGAACTCAATATTTTTCAAAGGCTTAAGAGCATTCAACGAATTGCAAACTGCAATAAGAAGTGCACACTCTCTCAATTGTTCCAAAATCTCTAACATATTTTTGTGTTTTATGTACAATGTATTAGCTTCTATGACTAATTGAACGGATATATAATATAGTGATGGCCCATGTATTGATGTTCGCTAGGTTGTGCTATCTGGGCTCACACTCTCATGGGAGAGAATTGATTTTCCGTACGCACGAATCTGCCCATCTCTGACACAGAAAAGAAATTGTGTCTCATTACGAGTTCATCTCGTTCGTTTCTCGCTAAAGCGATGAGACAAAGCTCTATATCGCCTGATAGCGTGTACTCCTCCAATGTAGACCTGGCAATCCCTAGTCGTTTTATATATTCAGGTCGCAGACGCGGTTGTTTTTTCATTTAGGTCGAGCTCTAGGATTTCACACATCTCAGGGCCTGCTTTATGGTTTTTGGAATGCTCCCGGGAATATTTAGGGCTTACGGCGTTTTCTCCTGTCACTACGGATTTCCCATTCCTGTTAGAATACGTTTTATTGATATGAAAGTGGGGAGAATGTAGGTGATATAGGAAATGTCACATTGAATCGCTCTGGAATATCATGCATGATAATTTGTGATTCACGCAGGTCATACATTAGAAGTTCTATGACTTTCTGTTGGACTAAAAACTATTCTCAGTCCTAGTTATGTTAGCAGCAACTCGGTTTCTTGTTGGAACTTGCACCGCAACATCAGCAGAAATACGATTCCAGGGAAAGAAAGACATGCCTGTTCAGAATAGATATAATCTTGGTTGAGTGAGGTCAAATATATTTCGTCTTTCGAATCTGATTGGATGAATAGTATTTGTCTTCCGAAATATAGTGCTTGTTGAGATAGCTTCAAGAGAAAGTTAAAGTATAAAGTGGTGCAGTCGGTAGTACTCTGACCAGGGATTTCATCGCAAATAACTCGTCAATATCAACTGTTTAACTGGAAGAACCCAGTGCTGTCTCAAGGATCTCAATTGGCAAAAGCAGAGCTGAGGTAGAAGTGAAAGCGTTAGTCTTGGTTGAAGTAGGAATGAATATCACGAAGAAAGAAACTCGAAGTCATTACCCCAGAAGTTCATATAATGTACAAAAATGGTAGAAAACGACAAAAAAACAAATACCTTCCTGGCTATATGGCACGCAGAATATTGATTTACATCCTCTCGAAATCTATGCAATATTTCGTATAGACGAATGAAATCGCAAGTTTTCCTTCGTAACGCGTGACTATACCTGCAGGCTGATTTCGAGCTGATGGCTCTCATCAGTTCAGAGCTGTCCCAGATAGCTTCGTGACCGCTATCTGGTAAGAACCTGATCCAACAGAAACATATATCAGCATTTATACCCCACGATGCGTTCAACTTCTGCAAAATGAACGTGAACGCCAAACGCCACCTGGCAAAGACAGAAACACTCTAAAACAATATCTTATTTACTCCAGGTGGATTGGAAGTGGCTGGTTCCCCGACTGGCGTATTATCAACTAACCAATTGCCACATACTCAAAGTCGAATACAATTGTCACGAAGAAAGAACTCGAAGTCATTACCACAATATACATGAAATGAACGAAAATGGTGGATAACGAGAGGGAAACAACTTCTTTCCTGGCTATATGCCACTCAGAAAATTTTGAATCACATCTTCTCGAAATCTATGCAATGATTCGTATTAACAAATTATATCGCGAATGTTTCCTTCTTAAACGTCGAGCCGCGTTCGAGTGCAATTGGAACGCGTGATTACCTGCATACCGGTTTCGAGCTGTTAGCTCTCATCAGTGCGGGGCTGTCCCAGCTTCTTGACCGCTATATGGTGCGAACCTGACCCAACAGAAACGCATCCCAGCATTTATACTCCACGAGGCGTTCAACGTCCGCTAAATGAAAGTCGAGTGCAATTGTCACGAAGAGAGAAACTCAGTATTGATCCATTCGAAGGACATCTTTTTGTTTCATCATATCCATCCTCATCCCCTTTTTATGTTGAGAAGCACAATTCAGATATATTTCTGAGCTGCACCAATCGATAGAAACTGTTTTCTAGTTTGATTCGTCAATGTTTTTTTCTGGAAACCTGAATAATTACCATAATATATTACAATTGTCACGATAGTTCATTCAATCAGGAATAGGCGTATATTATATACAATCCCCTATATCCTGACATCGGTTAAGATAACATTATAAGAAACATGTAGTTATCAATACCCTCATCAAAATGTTCAGCCAGTCTCATTAGTAATTCAAGAATGGCTGGAAGGCAATGTTCATATTGGAACAATACCTCTCTGATTTGTATTCTGATATCCCTATAACATCGTTCCGCAAATGCAACGCAGATATCTATAGTATGTGAGATTGATATGTAATGATGCCTTATGTGAACTCATCATCAAATATCCAGCAATTGTAATGCCAATCAGTGGAATCAAGTTGGGATTATACAACAGCCGATATATTTGAATCAAGATGCAGCGGAATGTCGTGTTTACTACATGTTCATTTATCAATCATAGATAACTTCAACTTGATATTATTCTGATGGAACAACGATATTGATGTTCATTTATTTAGGCTCGGTGGTCGAGAGCATGAAGGCGCTGAGTTCGTATAGGGACTCCCACCGAGACATAGGTTCGAATCCTAGTTAGGCCATGGATGTTTGTATGCCTACCTAACCCCGCACAAGTTTCGACTTATAAGGCGTTTGGTCCCAGTTCTGAGACCAACGAGGTGATGCAATTGCATAAAAAAAATGAATAACTTCAACTTGATATTATTCTGATGGAACAACGATATTTATGTTTGGTTGCTATGGATCGGGATTATTCAAGGATCAATGATAATGATCAACACAAGGTTCTCTAAAAATAATTTGTTATATCAATATCATATTATGTTCGTAGTGAATTATGCATGAGAATTCACTCAATTTTGAATCAGCATGAAATCATATATACTTCTTGATGTTGCATAGTTCCTGTTTCTGTTTCTGTTAGAAACACATTCATTACAGTATAATATGATGCTGCGGAGATTAATCAATTTAATCATCATATTTTCATTTAAACTTTACACGAAAGTTTTACTTGTCCAAGAAAACTTGACATTTCAATGAAAATTCGACACATTAAACATTACTGTTACCTAACCAAATTGGGTTTCTTTGACAAATCAGCATAGCAACATGTATTCTTGTGGAAATTCAGTTCTCGTCAGTACCCACTAGCGGAATAAATCGAAAATGATTTCTTGATATTTGATATTTTATGCTACTACAATGAGTAGGAATCAACAATCAATAGGCTGAGGATTCATTGTGCCACAAATGATTTTATTTCATAGAATGTCATACCCACTACCTGGGCCAGTGTATAATGGAATGCTAAGATTCGAAATAATTTGTGCTGATGGGCTTCAACAGAACGATCTGATTCCTGAGGTGAGCGTACGGACACACATCACAGTTCCGAAAAGGAGAAGGAAGAGAATAGTTATGTGTGCAGCAGAGATCAGCAAAATGGGCCAACGAGTGCCTACTTATTGCTAGGCGACCGCCTCTCCTTCCACTAATACTTCTACTATAGTATATGTATGTATGAAAAATTTATTGATGAAATGGTTTTTCTACTACTTGTAGTAACCCGAAGTTGTTATTAAAGAAGCCAATATGATATCTGCGAACCAAACTGAATGTATTCGTGAACCAATATGAAAATGAATGGGTTGACGAATTCTAATATTATTCAATTCTCAAACACAATCTGGTGTGAAATGTTTTTCCGAATACCACACGAGGTTGAATTATATGACTCTAAATAACTTTCGGAATATCTATGAGCTTAACAAAATTTCTGGAGATGATACAACTTCTATAGTGGTATTAGAAGTGAATATTTGGTTGCCTGGAAATTGAGCGAAGAGAATTTCTTCCCAAATAATCACTAATCTGTAAGACGAATAATGTTTTCTGGCAGTTGCCACTTGCCATCATGAAGCGGTGGAAGCTAAGACAACGCGTGTTCGTTAACATTATTCAACAAACACTCGATTCCTATGCTCCTCCTTTCAGAAGAATGCAAGACAAACAGACAGTTCAATGAAAAACAAGTCGAAGAAAGACCTGCTATTCTCCTAACCAAAACTCCTGAGAGGTGCAATAGAAGTAAGTAAGTTATTGAACAGGATGGAAATAGCAATCAAGTATTTGTGAAATGACAATACCAAACACGCGTTGCTCCTAGTAGATGAATGGATTGTCATAAACCTTAAACACTTGGTTTCTATGCCCCGCCCTGTATAAGTTGTACCATTCAGTTTGAGGTGGCTTTACTCATTCCATTTATAAAAAATTATGGGTTAATTTATCTTTCCCACTCAAACCTATTTCAACTATAGTTTCATGGAGCTCTTCCAACTTTTCCTCATAACATGCTTTTCATATGTGATTATCTTCACTTTTCCGCAACATTGGAGTTGTTAACAGAGTAATTCAATATCTACTCCACCTAGAGCCTAAGTGTACTCGAAACTCTGATAGGATATCCAGCATTAATTTTTGGTGCGATGTGCTGAAATCATTGCCAACGGATATTTTCCAGAATTCAATTAGCGAACGTCAGAATTGCTTGACTGATAGGATGGATGATTTATTGATCATAATATACTACATGAAACTATTCCGCCTGCTCAGGGGTATTTTGATAAAGAAAGTTGGTTGAATTGCACGAAGAGTGTTTCATTAATCCATAACGTCCAAACTCATCAGAGTTGAATAGGAGATTCTCTGAGTGGGATTATCAGCGGTCATTTCTCCAATTTTCATTTCGATTTCAGTTTTTGGAGTGCACGAGGAAGAATACCTTATATGTTCGTGAAGCATTCAGCGTACCTAGGGAGGTCAGAGTCAGAAGGTCATAATTCCTCGACGATACTTTCTCATTCAAAGATTTTCAACGCTATATGATATCCAATATAACGACGAGAGTCATATCGGGACGAGGCCATTGAGTATATGACATTAATTAGAAATAATGAAGACACACGCATCAATCTCAAACGGTTGAACAGTGCATTTTGAAATAATTCAATTGTTATATGATTTTCCTCACATGAGTATGTCACCTATTTGAAACTGGACCTCGTCCACTTCAGCAGTGGACCTCTTATCTGTTGCTATTGTCTCGTGCAATTATAGTTGATTGATAAATGATTTCATATGTAGTGGTTTTTCTATGCCGATAGCTGTCTCTTGATCAGTAAATAATTCATAAGAACATAATATGGTCCACTTTAGCTTTGGACTTCTCATGATGCTATAGTTGTTGCTATTGTGTAGTTGAGCCAGTGATGATCACATAATATGTAGTGGCTTCTCCTATACCAGAGGCTGCTTCTGAATCATTAGATCATCATCATACTTCATTAGATCTCAATACATAATTCCAATAAGGGCTTTATCTGATCACAAGCAAGTGCCTGAATGATGGCCTGAACAAAGATATGCTCGGGTCAACCTGATCCTAGAGTAGCAGATAGGGGTTGAATGACTGTAGGAGATTGATATATCTATAGATCATGGCGGTGAGGATGTATTTTTCGAAAAACCATTGATTTTCTATATCGCTCGAATTCCTTTTGCTCCAAGTATCCACCATGACTGCAATAAAGTTCGCAGCTATTCGCTTTCCTCCCAGAATTTACACAATTAGTTTACATACAGCTTAATTTTGTTTGCTCAAACGTTATCTGCGCGGTGAATGCATTTAATGGAATTTTCTAGTAGTATTATCATACTAGGGTGTATGTTGTGGTATGTATGTGTGTCGCTTTCTAATCCTGGAAAATAGGCTCTAAACATTGGCCTAGAAGTTTGTACTGGCAATAATGTTTGTCGTTTGGTCATTGAATTGGATCTATCCAAACAGATTCAGTTCCCTCGTGTGAGAGATTTTCGAATATTATATTGGGATTGTCTACAGAATGAAATTCAGATATCTTGTTAGCGCTGACTACAAATATTGAGACAATATTGATCTGATATCATGAAAATACTGGTGAATTATCGTAAAAGTGATTGAGTATGGTGAAACAATTTTGCACTATATTAATAATCTCCTATTGAGTGTTCAATAAATGTAAAATCCAATGTTCGATGAGACAAATAGACAGGAAAGTAGTTGTTTCTGTTGGATATTCCGAATGATCTTATATACCTACATATCATATTGTTATTCTATATATCGAATATCAATTGCAAAATGATCTTCAAACTCGCAGATACAGCGTGGTGCTGGAGAATCTCCAATTGAATTCAGATAATCTATAAGTACATAATAACCAGCCCTTTTATTGGTATAGCGAATTCGAAATCAATACGTATACAATGCCATATCATCAAAACAACACAGGCAAAATATCCTGGAACGAATATTCGCCTTGAAAAATCAAGGTCATTTCTCTATATTGAAACGATGTCGCATATATATACTGGTGAAATATTTGTTGATTTGTTGCAAAGTTATCATAACAATATTGGTGCAGTATTTTGATAGTCATGTTGATGATGAAATATTTGTTAATTTGTTGCAATGTTATTATATCATCAAAACAACACAGGTGAAATATCCTGGGACAAATATTCGCCTCAAAAAATTACGATCATTTCTTTATATTGGAACGATGTTGCTTATATATACTGGTGAAATATTTGTTGATATGTTGCAATGTTATCATAACAATATTGGTGCAATAATTCGGGAGCCATGTTGATGATGAAATGTTTGTTTATTTGTTGCAATGTTATCATAACATAATTGTTGCATCAGTATTTCGAGAGCCATGTTGATGATTCTCAAAATTAGTGCAATGTCTTGATATTCATTTGTTGAATTACTTGACGACTATACACTTCAATGAAGATGCTTTTTCAACCTGTCAATGATATTATTATTAGAAGTAGAAGTTCATTCAATCTTATAGAATACCTACTAAGTATTCTGAATGCCGAAACAGCAGCGGTTGAAGTATTGCGAATTGCAAAAGTATGAGTGCTTCCTTATTTCATCGTCGAACTAATCAATCAAATTGTGATTTTTCTCAAAATCGCATAGGAAATGGAAGTTATGGCAGAACAGACCCCTGTTATGAATTCGAATCGTTTATTCACTTATATATAGCAACAACAGGGAATTTCAAGACATTCCCTACTTCTCTGTTTATTTCAGCGTCTGATTTTATTAACTGCCGTATATTTGTAACACCTGATGCAACACGAAAGCAGTGCGCACTAAATTTCAAATAATTATTTGTTTGTAGTGATTCTCAAGCTTCCTCTAATTCAGTCAGAGTTTGATTTGCGTAACTTGAGAACGTAGTAATGTAAACTATATATGGAGTTCTATTATCGAATTGAAGAAATATGTCTTTATGTTTGATACGCTGCTTCCTCAGGAGTTGAATTTTCATAATTTATTCTTGAATCAGAAATATTTTCACATGATTTCTCTATCAGAAGACCTATACTTCCAATTTTTGCAAAACGAATCATAAATTGATAGGGGAAAAGAATACACTTACTTCACAATGATTGTGAAATGCAATGGAATTGAATCAGATGATAATAAGGACGTTAGGCTCGGAGTGCCTCAAGGATTAGTGCTTGGGTCAATCCTTTTTCAACTGTATGAATTATATGAATTGTCAGAGTATGTTGCGAATTGTCATATAACAAACAATGTTTGCAAATGACATCACCATTACAGTAAGTAGTGGGGATATCGAAGAATGGATCGCAAGAGTAAATAACATTATTAAGTAGCATTGGTAATAGTTAACTTTCACATCAAAGAGAATAATATGCCGTCCAATCTAAAAAATATCGATGACATCAAATTGAGCAGTGAGGTAACATTTCTGGAAACACACCTAGATCAAAGACTAAACTGGAATATGCAGACAAATATTGTCTGCAATAAATTGAACATAGCATTCTCTTCTATAAAACAAATGAAACCTTGTTCAGATATATCAGGTTTACTGAATATGACATGGGGTTCTACCAATGAATTTTCCAGAGCCTGTTCAGATATATCAGGTTTACTGAATATGACATGGGGTTCTACCAATGAATTTCCCAGAGTCTTTGTAGCACAAGAACTAGACTTATTTTCAATATGATTCGCCTGGAGAGTTGCAAATTAGTATTCATACGTAAAAATGTATTGACAGCGTACTCAGTGTATGATTTGAAATGTATTAGATTTGTCAGAACTAATTTACATGAGCTGAAAAAGAATTCTTGTGTGCACAATTACAATACGGGACATGGAAATCTATTGCGGATTCCGGATCACAAATGTGCAAAATATGTGAACTCTCCATTATATGATGTGATCAATTTTCGCAATAAACTGCCTGTATCCATCAAGAATTTTACTTCAGACAATATATTCAATAGAGAATTGCTAATAAAAAAAAAATTATTATAGTGTAAAAAAATTCTTTGACGATGCTCTAAATTAAACATTGTCGAAGGAATATACACTGTAGAAAATTCCTCTGAGTGAATGCATATGTGGTTATGAGTGAATTTACTGATTGACATTTTTTTGTGAATTCTCAACTCAAACTAGATATTTCATCAAGTTCTCATATCAATGAGAATGTTTATAAATTGATTGAATCGGTTCATGAATTACCATTTCACACAGTCGAGTAGGGTGCAATTTCAACTCAATCGGGCGTGCACCGAAATTGACTCATTATTGCGTGGACCTTGAGTGAAATTTCACTCAATTTTTTTTCCAGTGTAGATCCCAAATACAGGCTGATTCACGGTGGATGGCACATTAGACGTTTCTGGTGAACCAGACAACGGATCATTTTGAAAATCCGATGGAGGTCATATTCAGACATTCTCTAGCCAACTAAAATATTCTCGACAATGCGGTGTTGCCGCTTCTATTAGAAAGCAGTAGCAACTTTGATTTTTCAAATGGAACACTCTGTATTTTATTGCATTTTTAGATTCTCCCTGAAGAGCTGATTCCATCGATGTATCACACTTAGGGTCTAGCGGAAATGATTACAGAGATATAGGATGTGAAAAATCGACATTTTTCAACTTTAGGATTTTTTTGTGTCGAAACTATTCATCATTGGTCAAAACGGCT